CCTAGCTAAGTCCCCCTTGGTAGGAAAGGTAAAAAGACTTAGCCACCCACATGATTAAAGGACTCTCTTCGTCTGTTCATCATCTGCCTTTGAGCCAGTTTCTTATCTATAATTAGAGTTACTGTAAATGCATTTGCTTGATGTGAAAACCAATAGTTAATGCCTTTTTTATGACACAGTAGGAAGTGTGAAATAATGTAAGTTTTGATAAACAAAATCTCCCTTTCATTGTTAAGGAAAAGGCATGTATTGATTGCCTTTTTATATCCCATAAAAGTAACATCCCAGAAACAAAACAGGTTTTAAAAACACAGATTTTGCCCTTATTCAGTAATCATACCCATTTTGAAGTTTAGTTATTTAATAATTTAAAGTGTTAGTTGGTTAGTCGTTAAGTCATGTCCGACTCGTAATAATTTAAAGTGTTAGTTGTTTAGTCGTTAAGTCGTGTCCGACTCTTTGTGACCCCATGAACCAGAGCACGCCAGGCAGCTCCTGTCTTCCACTGCCTCCCGGAGTTTGGTCAAAATATAGGAACATAAAGCCCAGATGCCTATGGGGACTTGTGTGAAGATGTGTTAGTAGGTAAAATTAAATAAAAGTGCCCTAAATATAGGAACACAAAGCTCAGATGCCTATGGGGACTTGTGTGAAGATGTACTTCCTTTTACTGCCTTTATTTGAATCTTCTATCTAAATTTCCCACTGTTTAGATTAATCAGATAACCCTAGATTATAGAATAATGGGGAGAGGTTTCTCCTATTCACTTTCTCCACATCATCCATAACTCTCTATTGTACCTTTTTAAAATAATCTGCCTTTTTAATAGCCTTTTTCTGCATAGAGGCATTGCTCTATTCCTTGATCATTTTAGTTTCCCTTTTCTGCACCTTTTCCAACTTTATGGTTTCCTTTTTGAATGTACAATGATCTGAGCGCTACACTGTTCCAAGTGTGGCTGCACTATAGTTTTTGTACAGGACCAGCATAATATTTGCATTTTTGTTCTCAGTTCCTTGTCTAACTATACTCAACACAGAATTCACCGTTTTTAAATTGCTTTTTAAACAGCATTCACATACTATGTCGATATTTTCATCAAGGTATCCACCACACACCAAGATTTCTTTCTTGGCCAGTTGCAGCCAGCTCCAGCAAGTGTGCATGTGAAGTTGCGAATGACACCTTCCACATGAACATCTCTTTGTATTTGCTTGTTCTAACCCATATTTGCAATTTCAATGCCCAGTACCCCAGTCTGAAGATATCCTTTTAGAGCTCTCCTTAATCCATATTGGTTTTAATTGCCTTGTGTCATTTAGTGCCATCAGCAAGCCTGGCCATCTCAGTTTATATTGTTGTTGTTGTTTAGTCATTGAGTCATGTCCGACTCTTTGTGACCCCATGGACCAGAGCATGCCAGGCCCTCCTGTCTTCCACCGCCTCCCAGAGTTGTTTCAAATTCATGTTGGTTGCTTCGATGACAGTGTCCTACCATCTCGTCCTCTGTCATCCCCTTCTCCTCTTGCCTTCACTCTTTCCCGACATCAGGGTCTTTTCCAGGGAGTCTTCTCTTCTCATGAGATGGCCAAAGTATTGGAGCCTCGGCTTCAGGATCTGTTCTTCCAGTGAGCACTCAGGGTTGATTTCCTTCAGAATGGATGTTTGGTCTCCTTGCAGTCCATGGGACTCTCAAGAGTCTCATTTTATATTACATGCTGTCAAGTCAGAACTGGTTTATGGTGAATTTAATAGGGCTTTTAATGTGAGATATTTTATCAGTTCCATACCCCAGTGAGTTTCCGTGGCTGTGCAAGGATTCAGACACAGGCTTCCTAGATCTTAGTCTGTCATTCTGTCTGCTACACCTCACTGGGTATTCTAGGTTGTGTCAGTACTCACTCCTGCTTCTAAAGTATTTCTGAACAACTTACAAAGCACCTGTTTTAACCTCATTGCACCCAATTGTTTAAATCCCATCATCGTCACAATTGGTCATTTGTCCTAGCCCTCTGCTATTCCTTCTTTCATTGCAAGATTTATAGCCACTATCCATTTGCTAGTCCCAATTGAGGAGAGATTAAATCAATTGCTGAATGGCAAATGAAAATTTATGTAAATCCTGTTGAATCAGTGGGTTTCCTCTAGTTGAGGCTAGTAATAGGACACTGGCCATTGGTTTTGAAAACAAGAGAGCATAGCCTTCAGAACACAGATCCCTTCCGGCTGTATTCAGCTAATATTGAAACATTCATATTGCACTATTTAAAAAAGAGTAAGAATAGAGTAGAAAATAACAGGTTTCTTGGGGTTTGCTTGTAAGTGCTAATCTGCTTTGTAATCTACGTGCAAAGAGTTTGTGGTTGTAATGATGGTGATGTAGTTTAGCTATCCCAGAGAAGTAGAGAATGGGTGGTTCTAGACTCATGTTTCCTACAGTAACAAGTCAAAAAGCATTGTTGAACTACTCACTCATCATCTTAGAACTGCTGAGCTGAAAGGGACTCTATAGATAATTTCCCCCTTTTTAATGGATTTTTCTGTGATTAGGAAAATTCATGACTATAGACAAACTACACAGCTTTAATGTTGAGAATAAAGAAATTGAAATAATTAGAGATTTTGTAGACTTTCGTTCAATCATCAATCCAAATAGAAACTGCAGCCAAGAAATCGGAAGAAGACTGAGATTAGGAAGGTCAGAAAGAATTAGAAAATATAATCAAGTGTAAGGATGTATCACTGAAGACCAAGATAATCCATACTCTTGTATTTCAAATCACCATATAAGAGTGTGAAATAGATTTATTTGAAATGTAGTGCTGGAGGAGAACTATGCAGACTAATTGTTTCCCAGGTGTTTCAGTCCTAGAAACACGAAGTTGAAAGAAAGGCTCAGGAAAAGAAGAGAGTGACCAGCACTGGCCTAGAAACAGGAGCTGCAGGCTTGAGAAAGCAGGAGTGTAACTGAGCCGGTGTAAAATTTTGAGACTTTAACAAGCAAGCGACACAAGGAAAGGGAAAGTGTGTGTCCAGAGAAGAGAGTTATAAGTAGCCGGGACTTGTTAAGGAGAAAGAATGCCTTATCAATTTGAAATAGCAAGCCACGTCGTCTAGATGGAGGGTTTTGGTACATTTTTAAATGTTTGGTTTCTTCTCTTAATCTGCATACGTTAATGCCGATGAGTATTCACAGGAAATGATTTCGTGCAAGTAGCTTCCGCCTTTCAGTGTCTCAGCTCTTGCAAACTTCTGCCTATGTGCCAATAATATGTTTAAAGAAATTGGGAAGAAATAAACACTTTAAATGTAATGGATAACTGCCAAAAGCATACTTCAGCAGGCGAGTGACAATCCAAAAAGTCACAGAGAGGGGGAAAACAGCCTTTATAATTATAGTCTAACATTGCAATTCTAGTCTGTGGGTGCTTTCATGTAAATGAAAAGTTGTTTCAGCTATTGAATACAGTAATAGCCACTGTTTCTATAGAGGTGTTTATTCTGCTTGGCATCAGGCTGATTCACGTACCTTGCAGCATTAGTAGGCTTAATGGGCAGTTCATATATACATATATAGGTGTTGCTACTGCTGCTATTATTATGTACCATCCAATCGTTTTTTACTTATGGTGACCCTATGAATTAGTGGCCTCCATAAGTAACAGACCTGTTGGGACCTCAAAGCCATGGCATCCTTTTCAGAGTTAATGCAACTAATATTTGATCTTCTTTTCCTACCACATTCAGCTTTTCCTTGCTTTATTGCATTTTCCAGCAAGACCTGTCTTCTCATTATGTGCCCAAAGTGTGACAGCCTCAATTTTGTCATTTTTGTCACTATGGACCATTCAGGCTATATTTGATCTAGACCCCACTTATTTGTTTTTCTCATCATTTATGGTATTTGCAAAGCTCTCTTACTGCAATACATTTTGGATGAACCAATCTTTTGCTTATTGGCTTTTTTCATTGTTCACTTTTCACATCATAAAATCATAGAATCATGAAGTTGCAAGGAGCCTAGAAGGCCATCAGATCCAACCCCCTGCTCAGTGCATATAGTAATAGAGAATACAATGGTATGGATGATCTTGGTCTCCAATCTCTGTGCATTTGGATCCAATTCAATTTATTCATTATTTGATATCACATAAGTATGTGAATGGGACTCCCTTCAATAGGTCTTCAGTTTGAGACATCTAAGGAAGGGCCTCAGCTCAATGGAAGAGTACATGCATGGTATTTAGGAGATCTTAGGTTCAATCCCTAACACCCTCAGAACAGTAGCAAGCAATGTTCCATCTAAGTTGCATGTGCTCCCATGCAAGAACATAGAGCTGCCAGCCAGAGTTGGTGCCTGCTTAGTTCCAGTTCCAGCTGGAATTCTGCCCTTGCACATGTGGATGGGGTGAGACTCTCATGCAGTGGGATTGAAAATTAGAGGAAAAAGTAGGTAGCAAGACATGGAAATACCAAGTTTTCACTGGCTATGTTGAACAAAAGAGACAGTGGCTAGAACCCTATTGCTGTTTATGTAAAGTTTTGTAACTTGCTATGGTGAACTGCTGCTAATTGATGAGGTGCCAGAACACATCTCAGTTGTGAATTGTGCAGTTGGGTACATGCCCAGACATGCAATACATATGCACTTCTGCACTTTGTCATTTAGGCGAGGCAAGTGATATAAACTTTACACAAACACCAACAGGATGCTGGCCAATATGAGATTAAATAAACCAATGGGCTGATAAAAGAGATTAATACTTTTATATGCTGTTTCCTCTGTGACGGCTTGTCTGATCATCATAGAACATTGAGAATGTTTAGAACATTTTCCCTTGGCTTTTTTATTTCATTTGCCCATCCGTTCCACAAATGACAGTTTTCTTTGCCAAGTGACAGTGTTTTCCCATATTTTATTTACACTTGCCAATCAAAAACCTTTGGACATTCCGAGGTGGTATGATTTTAACTATGCATACATCAGAAAAACAATGAAGGTGGGTGGATCAGATGCTTCTGGAAATTCATACCCACAAACGTGTCTCAGCCTCAATTCTACTGCCAAGGTGGTATCTGCACAAAGGAGAGAATGATCTATGAGAATGTGAATTGCCAGTATAAGTGGCAAATTGAGTTTGCAAACAAGAAACTGGTTATAAATGGCAGTTTACTACTGATGGAAGAGAAAGATGCCAGATGCTCTTGTCTTCTCATCTCCCACTTAAGAGTAGGCAACCTGTTGTTTTCCAGTCATTTGTTTGGAAGGCATATTAAGTTAGTTCTGGGCACCTAAAGCAGAATAAGCGGCTGAACAGCTTAGTTCCCATCAAATTAACCCAAAACCTCTTGTTTCTAGAGATACCAGCTTTCCATGAAGCACTCTTATACATTAAAAATCCTTTTTTTAAAACATCTACCAGTGGTTATTGGCCATAATAGTTGACACAGAGAGGCCAGGAATTTTAAAAAGAAAAGAAAAAAGAATGGCACTTATAATAGTAATCCTAGATCTGCAGAGCTGGAAGGACCTTATAGGACATGGAGTCCAGCCTCTGTCAAGGAGGCACAGTGAGGAACTGAACTCCCAACCTCTGGCTCCAAAACCAAAAACCTAAACCACTATGCTATCCAGCAGTTCAACTATTGCAGCATGTATGATAGCCAGGGTAATGTAGCAATTAAACTGTTGTGTTAAAATTGGCAAGACCCGAATCCCAGCTTGGCCATGAAGTGGATTGGGTGACCTTGGTCCAGTCAATAATCTACCTCACAGAATTGCTAAGAGGATAAAAATTGATAGGAGGCCCATGTACACCAGCTCGAGTTCCTTTGAGCAGAGATGGTGTATGCACATAACAAAAAATGACATACTAAGTAGGTTAATTGGCCAGATGGATGCTTGATGTGATCCAAGAAGGCTGTTATTCTCATGATAGTATATGCTAGCTTTTCTAGTGGAGCTAAGATTGTTTGGAAATATATCACCTTTCCTAAGCTTTCTGTTCATTAATAGATCTCATCAGCTCCAGAAAGCTCCACAGAGTAGATGCTAGAGCTCTATAAATGTTCAAAGGTAATTCTCCCTTGGAATTTTATATAAAATACTGTTTTAGTTTTTATTTAATTTCAAGGTATACTATGAGGAGCTGCCTTTCAAATGGAGTTGGACCACTGGGACATCTAAAATTGTATTATTTGCTGTGCAATCTAATATGTTTCCTGAGTCAGTTATCTGTGGAGATAGGATGGGATGGAGTTTGAAACCTTATCTAAGATCTACAGTTGTGGGGGAATGATAACAACTTAACAAAGACATTGCACTGGCATGTAACAAAGGGGAGATTTAAATTGTAGTCTTCCAAACAGGCATCCCTTTGGCTAATCCCTTAAACATTTCCTAGGCCTAGCCCAGGACATCTTGATATCTGAGATGGAACAGTAAATGGTACCCTCTCCTCAAAACAAGATGTATAGCATCCAAAGTTAGGGGTGACATCGACATATATAGCAGAAAATTTCACATGCATGTTCCCCATCCCTGGTGGTTAAAATACAACAATTTATAGCAATTTGGTATCCTTTCACAATGCCTCAAATCTGCTGTCCAAGGGAACTGCAATGTTAGGGATGGCCTACAGACCCTTGTCAGTATTCAAATAGGAAGAAGGCGTGGTGACTCTATACTCCAACTTCTTCCTTTTCCACTAACTATTGAATAAAGAGAATCATTTAACAGAGTTCTCCCATCCCTGTGATGAGTTTTCTCATCACAGGGATGGGAGAAGGAGCACAATCCACTTGGCTACCTTACTTGGTCCTCAGGTTACCTGAACTCTGTTTTGGTGTGGGACTCAACTTGCAGACCCAGCAATGTCTTATCAGCATTAAATAGCAAGAAGGGACCTAGCTGTAACATTTTACTGTTGTTAAACAATTACACGGGAGACTGAAAAGTGGTACAAACAAACTTTAACACTGTAGAACTCCTCCTAGCTCTAGTTCTCATAAGTTGCCTGTTCGCCCAAATTGTTCCCTTCAAGCCATCCTCTCATGGAGTTTCCTAGTTCCTAGGGAACACTGTCCCTGTACTTGCCTGCCTACACAATTTTTTGGTTTCTAAAGATAAAATGTTGATTTTGGGATGTTGCACAATATGTGCTTCTATGTCGAGGGGTTCGGAATAGTTTGCTGAATTTGTGGCCAGATGGCCTGCTGGAACCCGCATATGAACAACACAAACACGACCTGTTTGAAGTCGTTTTATCTCTCCTATTTTTTCATATAAGGATTTCTGGGCAATTTTCTGAGGGGGTACTAAAAATTACTTGTTAGACATTGTAGCAGAGAAAATAAGGGCAATGAAGTCCGTTTGAGTTTGTAGTGTAGACAGATTCAGGCCCAGATGATTTTATATGTTCTGGAAGGTGGAGCTGACCACATTTGCTGGTCATGATGATGATAGCAAATAGGGACTTCTGAAGCAGCCATGGCCACGTAATTTAAACACCTGAGACTGAAAGCTATGAAACCACCTCCTTCTTTCAAAACTGTGCCCACTTCCTGTTGACTCCTGATCGTGCCTGAACTACAGAGGCATACACACCCAAACTTGTACTTTGGTGTCATTTCTGCATTGTGCAGAAGGGAAATGACTTCTATGGTGAGCCTTAAGATACAGCAGTATTTTGTTGTAAACAAAAGTGGCAATAAGGCCCCTCCTCGCAGGGTATACTTCCTGCTTGGTAAGCCTCTATTTCATTCAATATGGTTCCCCTACTGCTTTATCTCAAGCACCCATGGCAGTGTTATAGGTGAAGAACGGCCAATTTGTGGTCTTGAAGCTTTTATCACTGAGTGCTACACATGGGTAGAGTTCCCAGCAACTTACTTTCAGGTCCAGGACTCAAATTTGGGGGCTCCTGAGTCTGGTGTGGCTGCTTAGACAACACCAAAGAAGAGGACCTACAGCACTGACCAAGAGGACAAAAGAGGACACTGATTAGAATAAATTTTGCATAAGCTAATTTATATGCACAGGTGCAAAATTAGACACGATTGTCATAATTTAAACAGAATTACAATACATGTCACCCAAGTGTAAAGGCTATAACTAGGGGACCAGTGTGCTTGCTGAGTCTGTTATCCAGTGCTAAGTTTAGATGGACAACTGCAAGGTCCCGCATTACCCTCTTTATGCTTTTTTATCGTTACGTCAGACTCGGACTGGACAGAACTTCAAACATCTTTCGAAAGAATAGCTTTGAAAAGACGGCTGTACTCTGGCAGCCTATCAAATGGGATTGCCCCAGTAAATGAGCACCTGGGCCACCTTGTGTTTGCTTGAGAGATTGCCGCTACTATACAGGTTTTCTCACCTTATTTTCAGTTCCTAATTTAGCATTAAGCACCTGTTGCTGCCAACAGCTGACTGGATAGCACTGTGGGTTCGGTCTCTGGCTGAGGAGGCAGAGGTTGGGAGTTTGATTCCCCCACTGTTCCTCCTGGGAAAACAGCCAGCCTATGTAGCCTTGGATGAGCTGCACAGTCCCAGGATGCCCCAAGAAGAAGAAAAGGGTAAACCACTTCTGAGTACTTACTCTGTACCTTAAAAACACTGAAAAGAGTCTCCATAAGTCAAAACTGTGTTGCTAGTATGCAGTTTGCTGCCATGCTGCTCTGTCCCCTACTGTTTTTCTAGGCCATTTGCATGCACTAAATGGCCCAGAAGAAGTGAGGAAACGGGCGGCAGTTGAGTGGAAAGGAAACAGAATAAAAGAAGCAGTGGCGATGTGACAAGGAAGATGTACAGATATAAAGACCTAGGAAAAACAAGAGGGGTGGGGGAGAATCTCAGTGAATCTTATCATGTAGTCACACATTTGGGAACGCAAGTGGTCATCATGGTGCTCCCCATAACCAGCCCTCTCTCTGATGGAGAGTCTAGACATGCGAGCTGTGGGACTGGGCTAGAGCAGCAAATGAGCAGAAGGTCTTTCCTAAAACTAATGGCTTGTAATGGTCTACTCAAAACCAAATGTCCCTTAAATATTTTGCATTACATCAGAGATCATTTTGCAGAGATCAGTGTATTGATCGGGGGTGGGGGATCAGTTTCTTTTCCAACTACTGATTGTAGCTGACCTCAGAGGGAACAACAAATCCTGAGGAAACAAAATATTCTGTTTCCTTTATTCACACTTCATTCTGCAGTGGCAGTTAGCATTGTAGTCCATGCTACATAAAAAGCTCTGCTACAGCCACGAGTTCTGAAGCTGTTTTACTATTTGTCACGACAAAGCTTAGATGGTCCTGGAAAGCTTCTAAAAGAGGAACAGAAAGTGGGGCTTCTTTAGGAGATGTTATGTTTCGCTTTGAGGAATGTCTTCATTAATATTTTCTTAGTATGAGCTGGCCAAATTAGAAGTGGACGGATGTATTTGTTTAGGTACACAGATGACGTGACAGACATGTGCCTCGTCACATGCAACCAGCACCTCCTCAGATCCCCACAGCAACTTCTTCATAGAGCTCTGTGTCCACATAAATAGTGAACAGGATGCTGGCTGATATATTTAATTCTATACATATTATATTAT